GGGGAAAATTGGACAGTGAATGGTTGATATTTATATCTCACCTTTATGAGTCAGAGTGTATTTGGTGTGTAATTGGGTCACAGTGATTTCAAGGAAAAGGGACAAGTTTGACCAAAGTGGCCAAAGTGGATTATGCTAAGCAGCTAAGTTTCCGAGACAGAAATGTTCTAATGGCTGGGTGAGTAAGAGTCAATGAAGTATTTTACTTCATTGGAGTAGGGACAAAAGTTAAGTGTGGTTCTGCACTCCCTAAAAAACTTGAAGTGAGATTTGTTTCTAGAAGGGTTTGAATAAAGGCTAAAATAGAATATAAGCTTAAGTAATCTGTTATGGCCAGATCAGGACTGTATTGAAATTTTGGTCTGTATGGTAAGAGAAATGCACAGTTTTGAGGGATTTTATGGATGAGAGTAACATAATCAGATATGTTTGTTTGTTTGTTTGTTTGTTTAGTGAACAAGTAAGAGAGGGGCAGAGGGAGAGGGAGGGAGAGAATTTTGAGCATGCTGCATGTCCATTGCAGAGCCTGACATGGAGCTTGCTCTCATGACCATGAGATAATGACCTGAGTCACAATCAAGGGTCAGACACTTAACCTACTGAGCCACCCAGGTACCTTCAGATATGTTTTTAGAACTTACCATTTGCCAGCAATGCATGAACTAGATGGAAGGATTCTAGAAAGGTTTTCCAGAGCCAGTTGACAGGCCATTGCAGTAGTTTTGATTACATTTAATGGCAAGGTGAATGAGGGTACCGGCTATGGAGACGATGAGAAGCAGACACATTCAGAAGAAATAGAATGATGGATTAGGCTTTGCAAATGATTATGAGAGAGTAAGGAGAGGAGGATGTTATAGATGACAGATGGTGATGCCATTCACAGATTTGAGGAACACTGGGAGAGTACCTGTTTGGGGGAAAAGAGCAAACAATAAGTTGTGACACTTTATGTTGAAGGAGCTTTTACAGCAAGCAAGTGGAGACGGTATGTTAGAATTATGGAGCTGTGGAGCTCAGAAGAAGTGCTTGAATTAGAGATACATATTTCAGAGTCATTGACACCTATAGCTTGCCATTGAGGTCATGAGCATGAATAGATTGCTAGTGAAAGAGAGTAATATAGTGAATAAAAGATGATTGATGACTTTAGTACGTAATGAGTGGGTGGAGAAGGATGAGCCTGCAAAGAAAAAAAATTACCAGTGTCATAGAAATAGAAGACAAAGTAGAAGAGAGTGGTATGGAGGCAAAAGGAGGAGAGTGTGGTCCACAGTGTTAAGTGTTGCTACATAGCAAGAACTTGAAACTCTCCGTGGGCTTCAGTGACATGATTGCTGTATTAAGCAATGTTTTTGGTGGGAAACAACATTGAGTGGGAAGAGTGAAAAGGAGGTGGAAGACTGACAGTAAACTGCATCACTCTTGAAAAATGTGCCTGTGTAGAAGATAAGACAATGGCTGCAAGGTAATATGAGGGTCAGGAGAGAGTTTACTTCAAAAGTATTGACTGTATGAGTCAATAAGTTTAAATTTCTGTATGCAGAATTCACTTGAAAGGGAAAGGGTGAATTTATGGTAGACAGGTAACAAAAATTTGAGAGACTCACATGCCTGAGAAGAAGAACGAGAATAAAGTATCAAATGCAGGTAGAGGGACTGACTAGATAAAGAAGGGAAAGTGGCTCAAATATAAGAGAAGGGAATTAGAAGGGTGCTCACAGATAAGACTGAATATTTGAATATAGGAAGTGGAAGAAATTCTAGTCTGATAGCTGCACTTTTCTTGGTGTAATAAAAAATGTCATCTGTGGATAGCTGGAGAAGGAGGATGGGTTAGTGCTTTGCGATCTTTAGAAAAAGTCTAAAATAGTTCCTGTGGAGAGTCAGAGTTCAAGTTGAAAACAACTAAATATGGCAGAATCCTGGGTTCATTTGAGGCTGTTGGTCATTGCATTCCCCCGGGAGTGGATCTGGAGACAAAGATCTAGGTGCAAATAGTTTATGGGAGAATTGGAAGCAAAGTGGAGAAGTGAGGTTAGGAAAAGAATAAAGGATACACACATGGGTTATTGCTGGAGGCAACTGGAGAGGAGTCTTTCTGGGAACCCTCTGAGGCACTGTGTGTAACTTTGATCATGATGGTCATGCTGAAGGGCAAGGGAGCTGGAATATTTATCTACCAATTCCCAGCTCTCGCTTGGTGTCACCCTAGTGGTATTTTTTTTAATATGAAATGTATCGTGAAACTGGTTTCCATACAACACCCAGTGCTCATCCCAAAAGGTGCCCTCCTCAATACCCATCACCCACCCTCCCTCACTCCCACCCCCCATCAACCCTCAGTTCACCCTAGTGGTATTAACATCTCAACACTTCTGCCTTGCCCCATGCACTAGCATGTGAATGGCTGCAAGCAGATAGAAACAGTGAAGTTTATACTGTAGGAAAGGAAAAGCAAAAATGCTTTCTGAAACATTCTTATGGAAAACATGCACTGAATTTTGTAGGTGGCTACATGACCAGAGTCGAAGATTTGATTTAATGAGTTAACATCAAAGAGAGAAAAAGAGATGTTAAGAAGCCTGCAAGAGGATTCTGTTTCAGTATCACCACTTTGAATGAATAGGAAACCCAATAACTGAACTTATAGGGAGAAAAAATAAATGTAGGGAGGATAAGAATCACCATGTATGATAAAATAAAAATCCATAAATATTTACAGTCCACATGCATATAAAAGTTTTGACTTTCAGTGACATGGGATTGGAGTCGAAATCTCTGAATTCAAATCTCTGTTCCTTCTGTTTCTAGTTGGTTAACGTTCATTCAGTAAATACTGGTTACTCTGAACCAGGCCTTTTTTGAGGTGAAGGATATAACGGTAAACAAGATGAATTAAGTTCCTTCTCCATGGTACTAACAGTCTGAGATTCATTAGTTCAATTTCTTTGAGCTTCCATCTCCTTACATGAGCAGAGAGATTAATATGATCTTACCACAGGCTTTTTTAAGAACCTAAAAAGAGAATATGTTTTTGGAAGTGTTTTGTGCTCTCTGAAGCTCTGTATTAGCTTAATGTTAAAACAGTAGCCTGCAAGTAATATGCACAATTTTATCAGGTTTATATGACTTCAAGCCCTGAAATTTGAATTCAAGAAATCAGCTTCTAAGTTTGTGATTATGGAGAACTGGTTTAGTGATAGTTTATGTGAAAAATTCTGGGAAGTTTTAGCTCAGTTTAACTTCAGTGTGAGTTAAAAGTCTAATGTGGAAATCAAAACATTGGTTGAACTCATAGGCTGCATATCCAAGAAGATAATTGTGTATTCTTTCCTGATTGTACTAAACACTACTCACATGATCTCTTTAGGAACCAAATTTTTTTTTTTTTTAACATTTATTTATTTTTGGGACAGAGAGAGACAGAGCATGAACGGGGGAGGGGCAGAGAGAGAGGGAGACACAGAATCGGAAACAGGCTCCAGGCTCTGAGCCATCAGCCCAGAGCCCAACGCGGGGCTCGAACTCCCGGACCGCGAGATCGTGACCTGGCTGAAGTCGGACGCTTAACCGACTGCGCCACCCAGGCGCCCCTAGGAAACAAATTTTAAGTAAGAGACTGGGAAGCCATGGAATTAGCTGTTGAAGTAATGAGAAGTAGGGTAGGATACTGTCAGATATTTTCTAGGGGTTTTAAAGAGTTGATTTCACCTATTTGAGTGCTGTATTGGATAAGAAGATACAGCATGGTGATTAAAGTACATTACTTGGGGTCTTAAATTTTGTATCTGTACTTTCGTTCTACTTCACAAATTGCCAATGAAATACGAGTAAATATTTTTCTGGGGACTTTGTTTGCCTGTTGTTTTAATAAACTTGGATTAGATGATTTCTAAATTCTCTTTTCATAGATTCTTTACAGGTGCTGATAAAATCTAGGGACTCTTTCTCAAGAAAACATGCACACACATTTAGAATTGTGCCTGGAATTTCAAGTGATGCACAGACATCCTCCACCCTTGCAACCCATCCATGACTCTCCTCCAGTCTCTGCTTTAACTAGATCTGAATGACCTGATCCAACCATTAAATCCCATTGACTCCATAGGTCTCTGCAATAAAAGAATGTTTGTGAATATTAGGGCATGTGATTAGATGTCTATTGCAGCATAACAACCCACCATATTTAGTGGCTTAAAACAACAGTTCTTTATGTTTTCTTACGCTTCTGCAATGTGGGCAGGGTTCTCTGGGTAGTTCTGATGCTCTGGTATCAGCTGGAGAATCATTTGGTTATATTCAATGGTGTTTGAGATGGGTCAACAGGTGAAAGTTTTATTCACACGGTGTGGTGCCTTGTTCTCATTCATGTTGTCTCTCCACCTGGCTAGATTGAGCTTCCTTAATGGGGCTTTGGAATTCTGAGGTAACAGTTGCATTTTCAGTGCATGTTCTAAGAGGACAGGATTGACAGCACAAGCAGCTATCAGGTCTCTGCTTGCATTACCCTTAGTAATATCCCGTTTGCTTTAGCAAGTCACAGAGCCCATTTCAGAGTCTGTATTGGTGGAGATTGCATAAAGGCATGGATATCCAAGTATGGTTCAATGGGAGCTACTGACCGGAATTACTTGTTTACTGTAAGTACTTTCCAGAAAGAAAGAGGGTTATCTTGGGGAGTAGTAATTTTTCAACCACTGCAAACATTCAAACAGAGGCTGAGTGATAGCTTATAGGAGATGCTGTAGGGAGGCATTTGCTACATTGCAATTAATAAAATGAACTCCACGATCATAAGACTGGAGATCAAAGCCAATTCCAAATTTTGAGCCTACCTAACTAGGGAAATGGTAGTGCTATTAACAGGAACAGGGGCATCAGGCAGGAGTCTCAGATTGGAAGGAGAATGGTAATGTGAATAGATTGCTTTTTTTTTTTTTTCTTACAGGAGACAGAGATAATCAAGAAATAATGACCCTTATTTTTTCCTGTCTTAGGTTGGATGTCGATATAACTGAACTTCACAGTTGGATTACTCGTTCAGAAGCTGTGTTGCAGAGTCCTGAATTTGCAATCTATCGGAAGGAAGGCAACTTCTCAGACCTTAAAGAAAAAGTCAATGTAGGTTATGCATTAAATTTTATGTATTTTCCTAAGTTTTGCTGCTTGTAAACTCTGTGCTTTGTACTGTCTCATTCTATCAGTTGAAAAGATTAAAACAGTATGATATAGTCCTTTTAAATATATCTTTAACATATGTTTAGCATGTCAAGCAGAATCAGAGTTTAGCATAGAGAAATCTTTCCTGGTTGTGCTGTGACTAAGCAGGATTGCTTTTCATAAGCCTTCTTTAACTTTTATATTATTTAGCTGTAAGTTAACAATTTTATAACATGAACTCATATTGATTTTCCTTCATGTCTTGTTCTGTCACCTCAAGGCTGGGAGTTTGCAAGCTTGCAGAATAGTGTATAGACCCTTAAATATACTTAGGACCCTATTTATGCTTTCGCTATCATCCAAAAGTTATTCTTTATACTCATTAGTACTTGTCATAACAGATTTGCACTTTCCAGATATTTATGTATTGCATTACCATAACTAAAAGATGTCCAGCCTTTTTTCAGTATTTATTTATAGCAAGAGGTGGTTTGCTATTTTTATTCTCTACTGAGACATCATAGTTGTGTCCTTCACAATAGAGATTTTTATTAATTTAATAAGTGCTGCTTCATCTTCAAGGACATTATCAGGACTTTGATATTTCAACTTCACGATTATAACACATCCATTTTGGCAATTGTTTGTGAGAGAGTTTTAACAGTCACAGTAAATACTCCATAGTGGGCAGGCTAAAGAAACAAATATTCTGAATGTCAAATAGTTTTAGCTATAGGAAGGTCACATGAGTGGATAACTCTGCTTTATGTTTTGAGCAGTCAGTTTCATACAATACAAACTCCCTTAGGTTGTTACAAATACAACACTTTCTTAGATACAAGCTAATACTTGCTGTGGAATTGGAACATTTGGAGAGCAAGAAAGGATTTTCTTCTAGGAGAAAATAATCTATTTTTTAGGCTGCTTGAGGTGGAGGGGACAGATTATTCCACCAACATGTCTCAGAGTTAACTATTTATACATTGGAAAGTTATTTTAAATGCATTATTAGGGGCGCCTGGGTGGCGCAGTCGGTTAAGCGTCCGACTTCAGCCAGGTCATGATCTCGCGGTCCATGAGTTCGAGCCCCGTGTCGGGCTCTGTGCTGACAGCTCAGAGCCTGGAGCCTGTTTCTGATTCTGTGTCTCCCTCTCTCTCTGCCCCTCCCCCGTTCGTGCTCTGTCTCTCTCTGTCCCAAAAATAAATAAACGTTGGAAAAAAAAAATTTAAAAAAAATGCATTATTAGTTATATACAATGTTCTTAGTATAATAATAGACTATTATAAACAATTTCAGGAAATGAACATTATGATTATGTTATGAATGTTTTAGCTTTAAAATTAAACTAGAGCATAATATATATATGGTAGAAAATTAGCAAAATAGTGTTATTTCAATGTATACTTATTGGAGGTATATTATTTGTTAGGATTGTGGAGGGAAATTCTATGAGTGGAAAATTACTTAGAGAAGATGAACTCTAGATACAATTTAAAGTTCATGTGACAAATTTGGCCACTGAGAGTATAAGTCACCTTGGGTAGACATTTTATTAGCTAATTTAAATTTTTTAAATTTATCTTAATAATCTACTTATCTGTTTGTCATCCTAGTTCTGTATCTTAAAACAGCTCTGATCAAGCAGCAAAATTGAGTTCCAGCATTTCAAGAATATAAATTCAAAATTTTCCTGTTATCATATGGTTACCTAGAAGCAATTTGCATTTAATCAATAGTGTCAGCAATGACAGACTGAAAGTACTAAAAAAAAAAGTACAATGTTGTATGAGTGGTTTTCTGATGCTGCATGAGTCACCTTTATCAACTTCTACTCTCATTTTCAGAAATAACAACATCATTCTTAATTGCCTACTAAAATAGGGCATGAAATGATTTACCTAGACATTTGCTTCAGGCTAAATATAATATATATGTATTAAAAATCCGTGAGAGAAATACATAGTAATGATGATGGATATGCAGTTTAAGCGTACATTAGTTTTCTTAATTGTTCACCTGTCAGTGTATGTAACTTACTTTGAATACATGGGAGGCCTGTCTCATGAACTTGAATGGTATTCTTTTTTAGGTGTCCATTAAAAATGGCTAAATATTACCCTCTTTTTTTTTTTCTTTCCCTTGTCTTCTTTCTTCAGGTATTACTTTCATGAGTTTTCAACCAGTTAGAATATCCTCGAACATTATCAGTTCAGTTTTAAGTACTTTTTAACCTAACATAATTTTTCCTTATCTATTAGCCATATGTTTTATCCATATAATCAACATAATGCACTTACTTAAAAGTTGAATTCTAGGGGACATTTCTACTCAAAGTGGTCCCTGGGCAACCAATATTAGCCACATCTGTGTGTTTATTAGAAATATGTGATTTCAGACCCAATGGCTCAATTTCCATTTGTACAAGATCCACAGGTGATTTGTTGGTACATAAAGATTTGCGAATCAGTACTCTAAGGCACAATATGGGACTTTACCAGACTCCTAGTTCCTTTACTCATTGTGTTAATGTCACCACAGTTGAGAATTGCAATCTGACTTCATAGGTAAAGCTACTCAACTTTTTGAATTGAGCACATGATAATATAAGGTAGGAATTGAAATAACAGTGTAGTCTTACTACAAGGTGATTGTACACCTGTACAGTGTTCTCTTGAAAGCCTTCATACCAGCCGTTAAGGTCAACAGACCTTGGGCTCTTTCTGGAGCCAATGCTCCCTTGACACCAAATCAACTTTTAAACAAGTTGTACTGGAAATATTCAAGCCAATTCTTTCTACATTTCTTTTACTTCAATTATCCGGGTTTACCACCCAGAACAGAGGTCTCTCCATTCATGTGTGCTTTCTTGTATCTTCATCTCTCTGCTCTTTTACACTCGCTTTCCTCTGCCTCGCTTGTTTTTCGTGCCTTCCTGCTCACAGTCCCTCTGTACTCTGAAGCCCTTCTTCGGAAAGAAACTTTCTGTCCTGTGTACTCCTTCTCTGCATCCATGGAAACCACTTTGACCCTCAGGAACACCACTAACACTCATGACTCTTTGACTTTGCCACTCATTTAGATGTGCTAGTTTCCTCACTTCCCAGGGCCAATTCCAAAGGTACTGCTCTCTATGTAAAAATCTCTTCCCTTGTGTTTGATGCCCAATAGCCATCTATCACCATTTTATAATATTATTTTTCTCATTGAAGACTTTGGCATTAGGATCACCATCTTCTCCACCCAAGTTGTACCTTCGTCCATAAAAATCCCAGACCCTGTAGGCTGTCCTGCTATCTCCAAAAGTTGCTATTTCCCTAATCTCCTCAATTCAGCTACCCACTTGCATAACTATAGATGTTTCATTGCCAGACATGACTCTTTTCCTGAAATACCGTATTTACATAGATTGCTCGGTACTTCTCCATAAGCTTTCATGCATTCCTAGTACATTTTCTTCCCTATTTCTGTCAACAATTATTTCACATTTTTAGTGGATCTCCTAAACTTTTCCCCACCATTTATGGTAGATGACTTTCCCTCTTATTTTATTTTATTTTATTTTATTATTTTTTTTTAATTTTTTTTTTCAACATTTATTTATTTTTGGGACAGAGAGAGACAGAGCATGAACGGGGCAGGGGCAGAGAGAGAGGGAGACACAGAATTGGAACCAGGCTCCAGGCTCTGAGCCATCAGCCCAGAGCCTGATGCGGGGCTCGAACTCACGGACCGCGAGATCGTGACCTGGCTGAAGTCGGACGCTTAACCGACTGCGCCACCCAGGCGCCCCTTTCCCTCTTATTTTAAGATAATACCTCACAAATTGTGTGTATTTGTTCTCATATTCCTTTTTTACCTCCTTTGCCTTGTTGGAAGAGATGGTACTTTGGCTGGTCAAGGCTAATCTGTGTGTATGTCCTAAAGAACCTGCTTCCATTCAGCCATATGTCCCTATCTTCACTAAACCCCTCCTCTCCTATAAACACATAGGACCATTTTTGTGCCTTATGTTCTTCAACTTCTCTGCGGGACTAGATTCTATTAACCTCTTTATCCTTCACGGAATTCTTTACTCTCTGGGTTTATGGGGTACCATTATCTACTGGTCTCCTTTTGAACATTTTGGTCATTTGTTTTATCCCCTTTTCCTTTACTAGTGATATTCTACACAACTATTGTCTTGTTTTTCTTCTCTGGATTATCATCTTTCCCTCCTATTCAAATAACATCTATTTTCTAATGAACCCCAACTTTGTATCATTAGCTCATGCCTCTCCCTTAAAGCCCAAGCCCGTTTGCTTACTTGCCTAATAGACTTTAATTGAATATTTGCCTGAAAACTGAAAATAAACCTCATGATCTCCCCAGCCCTCCTTTATTTCTCTTTCTTTGTTTTGACACCCTAGTCCAGAAACCTAAAAGCTAACTGGTCATCTAGACCTTTTCCTACCATTTGCCAGTCTATCCAAGTTCAATTAATTTTATTCTCTTACCAGCTCTTGAAACTGTCCTGTTCTCTCTATTCGCATCACTACAACCCTTATTGAAGCTAGTATCATGGCTCACCTCTTTTTAAGATGCCAATCCCTATGTGGTCTTCCCTGCCACTAATGTTGTATTCCTTTAGAAGTTTTAGCGTGAGTTCTGTCAAAGCGAACTTAGTAAAACATGAATATTACCCTGTTATGCCTCTGTTGATATTCATTTGAGAAAGCAGAAAGCAGCCATTGATAATCAGGAGCTGGCTTGGCTTCTTCAGTTAGTACGGAGAGATGCTCGATGCTGTGCTCGTGCTCATAGCTAGTCTGTGATGTTGTCCTGTTGAATATGCACAACGACTCCAAATGCCAACACTTAGACAAGACCACTTCATGAACGTGGTGGATCAAGACAAAAAATGACCGTTTTGTAATCATGTTTCAGTACAGACACAAAAAAAATAACATGGCGAAAGCCATCC